CGCCTCCCCGCCCTCCGCGCCCACCCCCCTCCCCGCCGCCCCGGACCGACCGCGGGGGGGCGCTGCGGCCTGCTGGACCCGCCAGCGCTCGGGCGTCCGGAGACCCGCGGGCGAACGCGCGGACAGGGGCGCAGTGCCCGGCCTCTGCGCCCAGTGGGCACCGACCTGCTGTTTATAAAGAGTAACAACTGTGTTTTGTGGTTTTTGTTTTGTGACAGCAAAATCTGCGGAATCTGAAAAATACAGGAAACTAAAAATCATCTTTCACCCCAACACCTGGAGAAATGCGCAGGTAACATTTTGGTACGTTTCCTTCCAGTCTTTTCTCTAGGTTCATGCAGTTTTCTTTTTAAAAATTTATTGCATAAAACTGGCATCAGATGTATACACTGTATAACTGGCATCTCCTGCTGTTTCACCTGGCATCAAGTGATGAGAATTTTGCCACTTGATGAAGTATTGCCAACATGCTTTTTAATAGTTGTATATTGTTCCAATTATGGGTAAACACTAATCTGTGTAGCCTATGGTTACCCATTTAGATTATTTTTACAAGCAGCATTACAATTTTAAATCTATTTGCTAGTAATCCCCAAATCCATAGATGAACACTGATAACATCTCCGTGTGTCACCTTCTGGACTTTTCCATGCATACAGGCATAAATGTGTTTTCAGCTACAGAAATAATGTCGTTTATATATATAAAAGCATACATACACATGAATCCCTGAAACCTCCTCCTGCACCAAACAAATAAAAATGACATATTCTTAAAACAATGAATGCTTTGCAGTAGTTTAAAAAAAAAAAATCTCTTACAGTAGCTTGAGGTGTGTAGTCAAAGAGGAAGGCTGTGACCCAGGGGGATGGGCTAAGGACCTGGGATGATCTGGATGAGGCTACAAACAAGTGGATGTGTACAAAGAAGAGGACCAAGGACAGTGCCCTGGGCTCTCCAAGGTTAAGGGTTCAAGAAAGGACTAACAAGAAATTCATGAAAAACAGCTGAAAAGGTTGGAGAAACACCAGGCCTGTATGGTGTTCTGGAGGCCAAGGGAAGAAAGTGTAACTCACTGCTGTGTTACCGTGTATATTTCTTTGAATGCCATTTGAATGTGAATTTTCTAGTCATACTTTTTGTCCATGTTTCTCTTGTATTTGTCTTTTTGTGGACTTACAGGAGCTCTTCATATGCTCTGAGCACAAAATCTTTGTTAAGTATATTGCAAATATTTTCTTCCAGTCTGCTACTTATCCTCTAACTTAGTCTAGGGAATCTTAAATATGAGAAGTTTGTAACCTTTAAGTAAGCAGCTGTGTCAATTTTTTCCTTTATTGTTTCTGGGTTTTGTGTCTTACCGTAGGCCTTTTCCACTCCTGAGACATAAAAAATATTCTTCTAATCACAAGGTCTAGAAGAACATGGGAGATTTTTCCCTACAGGGGCCAGATCAGTGCTTGGCCCATAATGGGTATATGGTCCCTGTGCAAAGGTGAGTGTAAGGCTACGTGTCCGAGACTCCTTGCCACACATTTTCAGGAAACCGTGTCTACATTTTGGTGGTTTCATCAATGTACACATATGTCCCTCCTGCCTCTTCACCCATCTTGGCTTGCTTGTAATCAATGTGTGTTTGGGTGAATGGACAATGGGTGGGCTTTTTTTTTTTTTTTTCTATTTCGCTGAATTTTCCCATAAGCAAGTACAACAGGACCTTTAAAATTAAAAGGAGAATGGAAAGATTGCTGAGGGGCATGAGGAATAATGATTAGGTAGGTAGAATGGGTATTAGGCCTAGTGGGTAGCTTTGGACAGCCTAGGCCAAGACAAGAGAAGGTGGACTGTAGACTTCTCTAAGGTGGGGAATTGGAAAGATGGGGCTTACAGAGGGAGTTGGGGGGATCCCAGGGCTCCAGATGGATTGACGTAGGAATTGCTCAGCTGAGAGGGAGTGGAAATGGGCCCTATGCCCTGCTACAGGCAGCAGGTAGACCAGATATCTGGAAATGGCTGTGCTGTCAACACAAGTGTGTGACTTCTTTTTTGTCCTGGAAGTGGCCATACTGGTATTTTTTTGTGGGAACCAAGGATGGGCCTGGAAGGTGAAGACAATGTGGGCCTATTGATACAGGTAGATACAGTTACTAGGATTGTCTAGATATTTGAGGACATCTCTAGAGTTTCTAGAGCCAAGAGTCCCAAGATAAATACATTTCTCCCCTAATCTTCCATAATTCTACTCACACTTTCTTTTTTTTTTTTTTT